AAAAATTAGAGAATATGAAAATACAAAAATATGCCATATGATACATAGAATAAAAGGGGAAAGTTTATATAAGATTGTAACCTTAAAATGTAGAATTACAGATGCACCTCAAAAATCTATCGGAAAGGTTGAAGAACCTTCTATTTGATCATCTTGACATCGAGATATGTATGAATATAAATAAATAAATAAAATTGAGTCTAAGAAATAGTGCATCTTGCAACACATTATCTAGGCCGTCCATTTTCAAGATTTTCATATGTTCATGGATCTCCTTGATTTTAACTATTTTTGGAGTTTAAAATCATATAAATAGATATGAAAATAGATTTTAAGATAATCCTAAGAATTTTTTACAATAAAATTACATGTTATGATAAAATTTGGAGGTACGCCTTAATTGGATTGTTTAAGGTTGCAAACTTATAGAAACCGCACCCATAATAAGATTATAATAAAAAGGTAACTATCGCAATCAAAACAAATCATAGCGTTGGTATTCTTTATTTTTCCTTCCTTTAGATGGGTACAAATTTTCTTATTTTTAAAATAAATTTATTTTGAATTTTAAAAATTATATGGAAAAAGTACAAATAGAAAATGAAAGAAATAGAAGAAGAAAAACATAAATGAATAAAACAAATTGGAAGAGTTGTTTTTTCAATTACTAATTATTGTAATACTATAATTTTTAATTTTTTTATTTACTGAGGTGACTTGCATTTTGGGGTCGTTATTTTGACAAAATAACTTCAATTATGTTAGTACCTCTATAATTTGTATTTATGGTTAATTATAATTATGTTTTTTTCCTATTTTTTACATTTACAATTATATCATTCATTAATATAAATTAAATAATTTTTACAAAAAATATAAAATTTTCTTTAAAATTGAAAACATATAACATTAATGCTTTCAAATATATGAAAGAAAATTACATAAGATAGAAAGTTGCATTTTATATCAAACATTTAAATACTCACTAAATAGAAAAAAGTTTTTATTGAAATATAAGAAAAAAATTATAATATGTGTAAATGGAAGTTATGAAAGAGAGAGGTTTTGAAACGTGGGGGAGAGAGGTAGAGAAATTTTAGAAAAAATGATTTATTACCAAAATACCCCAAAACATTTTGGGGGTATTTTGATCAATTATTTTTTCACGGATAATTTTTTTTATATTTTTATTAGATGCGCCTCAACAAGATGTATATTCCCTTCAAATTTCAGGTCATTCCGATTTGTAGAAAAAAAATGAAAAATAAAATATTACCAGACAATCGCAACCGCGGGATAAAATTTGGATGGTGATGAGGGTAGGCAAAATCACTATTCATTTTCGCCTATAGGCATTGGGAAAAATTTTCCTATATATATATATATAACACTACAAAACGCCTATAGATGAAGTTCTACAGCCACCTATGACTTTGTCACCGTTCAAAGTTTATCACACAGTCTAAGATGTTTGATAGTATTTGAATTTTAATATTTGTTTTACAAATCATAATGATATAAAATTTTGTAAATGTGTGCGCCTTAGTGAGATGCACATGAAGAAAATATAAAAATAATAATTTGAATGATAAAAATTACGTAAAATACCCCTATAAAGTTTCAGGGGCAATTTTACCATTTTATTTTATGACTATTATTTTTTTAAATATTTTATTTTGGTGAGATTTGGTCATATGTACATACATGTCCCAAATTATAGATAAATATGTTTAGTAAAAAATTATAAAATTCAAATACTACTAAAAATTGTGACCGGGTGATAAACTTTGGACGGTGATGAGGTGTAGGCGAAGTACTTTAGAACTTCACCTATAGGCATTTTGTAGATACTTCATATCATCTCACTAAGGCGTAAACACCTACAAATTTTCAAATTATTATGATTTGTAAAAAAAAAATTTAAAATTCAAACACTATCAGACATCTGTGACCGTATGATAAACTTTGAACGATGATAAAACCGTAGGTGAAGTACTGTAGAACTTCACCTACAGACATTTGTAGTGTTTTTCATATATATATATATATATATATAAGGCATCAATTTTGTAGTATAAAAGTAAGGTGCACATTAAAGATCTCTAAGAAAATGTTGTTCCAATGCTAAAAAATGTTCTAGTAAATCGTATTCACCACAAGAGAAATGGATGTAGAAAAAAAATTGAGTTCTAAAAATAATGTATCTTGTAACATATTATTTAGAATGTTGTTTTTTAAAATTTTCAAGTATTTATAGACCTTCTCATTTTGTATTGTTTATAAAAGTTTAAATTTTATAAATATAGGTGATAATATATTTCCTAGCCATCATAAGAATTTCCAACATTGAAATTACATATTCTGACAAGATTTAAAGGTGCATTTTAGGCCATCTCCAACATTGAAATTGCATATTCTGACAAGATTTAAAGGTTGCATTTTAGGCCATCATAAGAATTTCCAACATTAGAATTACATTTTCGACAAGATTTAGAGGTGCACTTGATTGTTTTAAGACCGACACCTTGTGCAAATGTCAACTCGACATATCTAAGTGAATGAGAGAGGGAGGGAGTGGGAATGAGTAAACACTCAAGAAAGCGGGGGTGGGGTAGACATAATCTCAAGGGTTTGGCCTGTCATATACCTTAGCGATAAACAATAAACCATTTTCATATGCTTGCATTGTATATCAAATTGGTGAGGACCATTATCTTCATGTAAAATATGCACAGCATAATTAGATTTATTAATATGTTTTACTTGGTGTGGAGTTTGGGGGTGGGGGTTGCAAAAGTGCTACATACCTAAGCCCACTATGGGACCATTTTCGAATTCTTGTATTGATAAGTCAAATTGGTAAGGAGTAATGGGTAATTAGATACCATCGTCATGTACATAAGCATTATTATAGGTCTGCTAAGATACTTCATATGGTGTGAAGTAAAGAGAGAGAAATAAAATAGAGAGTGTAGATATCTAAGAGCCCTCTTAGATGTAAAAACAAAAATCTCAAAAATTAAATCCCACTAAGATCGTATATTTATCCAACTTAAAACAAAATAAGAGAGAGCACGAGTCATAATACGAGAGATAAAGTATGAAACACACACTATAAGAAGACAAAGTTGTACGTGGTTTAGCCCAAGAGGGCTACATCCATGGGCACGACATATTTAAATCCATTATACCAATGAAAGTTATATCATAGATTTTGGGACATAAAGTTACATCCCTAACCTTCAACAAACACAATCGAGCAAACCCTTTTAGACCCGCTCTCCTGATCGGCAACACCTACCTATCTCTCATCTCTATTCTACAGCTAAACCACTTTTTAAGAAGAAATCTATCTCTATTCCACAGTTAAACCGTTGTCTAAGAAAAAACCCTTGAGAGCAACCAAGACTTTCTCTCATTAAAAGAGGAAACCACCCAAAAGAAACCAGTCTCTCAATCTACATGAGCAACATCTATGGTAATTCTCTCTATATAAAGCTCTTTTCTCTCTAAGGAGTGGTTTTTCCTCTGATGCAAAGGAGGTCATGCCTATCTCTTTAAAGGAAGCTACCTTTCCCATATGGTGATTTAAATAGGGCACATATAATCTTTCCTCTTTCATCCCATATATATAAGGTTTGGACTCTATACTAAATAGAAAATTTTCTATAGATATTATATATATCTCAAAACCAAGAGATATACCCCAAGAGTCTTACTCTTTTTTAATTTCTATTTTTTTAAAAAAACTTATCAATATCAATCTCAATCCAACATAACATGGGATTTCCTTATATGGGTGATTTTGGATATCACCATATCCAACAGAGAGAAAAAGAGTTAGGCTCATAATTTTCTTATAGTTAGGATCACAATTTCCTCAGCTAGGGCTAGAACTTGCCCGCCCCAAGCCCAGGCCTGATCTCTATAACCCAATGCGGGTGGGCAGAATAGTCCCTGCCGTGGCTCTATATGGCCTAAGCGGTCCGGCACTGCCAAAGAGCAGTCTGAAAATGGGCCCATGCGGTTCGGCAACAGGCTCATACGGTCAACAAGCCCAAAGTCAGCCCATGTAAGCCTACGTGAATGTCCGGCCAAAATTAAATTTTTAGATAAATAAAAAGGTATTTGCACAAAAAAAAATGTATGTTTTTTTACTTCGAGAGACATTGCCAAAAAAAAATATATTTTCGAAAAAAAATAAATATAAAAACAATTAAGGACAACTTACATAAAAAGTCCAGTCCTCGGGTTGTTTGGACTTTTCCCTTTTTTTTTTACTACCTTAGGAGACTGGGCCAGACGCCCAGACCATTGAGAGTCCTACGTCAGAGGAGCACTAACTAGAGAGACAAAAAGAGTGGTGGGGTGACTAAAATAAGAATGGCGAAAGAGCACGTTTGAAATTTAGGACGGAGGCACGTAAAAAAAGACCACCTCCCTAATCCCACCTTCTAACTATCAAATGGTGTGTTGAACAAAGTCAAACCCACCACCCCATGATCACGCTACGTGCACAAGCCTAACTCATGAGGCGGCTCCGAAGGGTGATAATTGGATTCGGTGGGTCGGGTCTGGGTCCAAATCTTCGATTTGAATATTATTCGGAGTTCATGGAAGCTGGGTTTGGGTTCAATAATGTTTTTTCTAATCTTAATATATCGAATATATTTAAATATAATTATATACATACATATTTTAATTTTTGGATGTGATCCGATTGAATCCGAGTCCAGGTTTGAGTCCCATAGCATTTTTGGGTACGCCCGGACCCATTGCCACGTAATAACCCTCTCATTTTAAGGACGTGGAACTTGACCAAACTAGATGTGGACGTCCCTAGTGGGACGACCACTAAGATTTCTCTATGTGTCTCTCCAACTTTTTTGGTCACTTCCTCTTTCTAAATTTCGAAGCATTACTTCCATAGAACAATTCACTCCTTATAAATTCCCATAAGCTTCCCTCATAGTTTCATAACACATTTGCTCTCTCTCTTTTTCAAAGAAGAATAGAGCCCGTAACTTAATTCTCAACATCAACTGATCCCTATACCAATTTGATGGGTTACTTCTTTCTCTCTCTATTTTGCTTTGTAAGTCTTAGCTCTCTGGTGCAGTCTCAGCTTGATTACAACTTCTACAAATCGAGTTGCCCTAATTTAACAAGGCTGGTTAAGGGTGCAGTGTGGGCAGCTGTTAAAAATGACTCTAGGATGGCAGCCTCTCTTCTACGTCTCCATTTTCATGACTGCTTCGTTAATGTGAGTGCCTGTTATATTGATTCTGTTGAGGAGATGAAGCCTTTTTTTTGGTTTTTTTTATTATTTATTTTTGGATAATTAAGTGGGAAAGACAAGTCCTTACTTGGTTTTTCAAATAAATTAGGGGTTATTTGTTTGGTTTTTCAAATAATATAGGAGTTAGTGTTTTGAAGATATTAGTGAGATGTTGTCGATGTTAGTGTAGTGGTGTCAGTGAGAATAAAACACAACATAGTAACAAAGGTACGGGGGTAAAGGTGCGGGGGTGCTACCACCACCACCACCCCAACCTCTTTCCTTACCTTTCTTTAGTTATGTAAAGGTTTATGAGTTCATTACATTCCCTTTTAATTCTCTCTCTCTCTCTGCTGCTATTACTATCACTTATTATGCTACTCTCTATCTCTCTACAAGTTTAGTACCCCTACCACTAGTTCTCTCTCTAACCACCGTTTTTCTATCTTCCTAATATTAGTATCTCTACCACTTGTTTACCTTAACCAGTGTTTGCAAACTCGGCCGGTCCAAATAAAACCAAGCACTGGCCGATTTGGTTTTGGTCGGTTCTATCTTTTGTTTAAAGGATTGTCTATAAAGAGTTCATTTATTTTTTGTACATAGATGTCATAATAAATCTTGTCCTTTAAATTTCAAAATAAGTGGTTGTAAAAGGGTCAATAAACACAAAATTCCATAAAAAAATCCAGTATTTTTTTAAACACCAATTTGACTTTTAATTAATGAAAATGAGTGTGACTTCCATATACAAAAAATAAATAGTCTCTTTATAGACAATCCCTTTTTCTAACCCCCTCTCTCTAAATTGTAATTTGAGCATGTTCTGGATAATAGGGGTGTGATGCATCACTACTTTTGGACGACACTGCCAATTTCACAAGCGAAAAGAATGCGGGGCCGAATCGGAACTCAACAAGAGGTTTCGAGGTTGTAGACACCATCAAAGCAAGTGTCGAGAAGGAGTGTCCTGCCACTGTTTCATGCTCTGATATTCTTGCTCTTGCTGCTAGAGACTCCGTTTTCCTTGTACTTACCTCCCCCTCTCTCTCCTTCTCTCATCGTCTCTCTCCTTCTCTCACGAACTTAGCATTTTTATCCTCTTTCACAAAGGAGCATCGTCTCTCTCCTTCTCTCACGAGCTTAGCATTTTTATCCTCTTTCACAAAGGAGCTTAGAATTTTTATCTCTCTCTCTCTCTCTCTCTCTGGTAATGAGGTAAACTTTCTATTACTTTTGAGTGACTTACGTAGAGATTTTAAAATTTTAGGTAAAATACAAAATGTTTCATTTATATGTAAAAATTATAAAAAAATGTCGATCAACTCATTTTTTTTTATTTTATTTTTCAAAATTATCTCTCGATCAACCAGAATTTTGAATTTTTTTTTTTTTTATTAGTAGGGCAATACCTTAAAATTTGAGGCACTGCCCTACCATAAAAAAAAACTAAAAACAATTAAAATTCAGGTTGACCGAGAGGCAATTTATTTTTATTTTTTTAAAAAAATCCAGTTGACCGACTTCTTTATAATTTTCATTATAACCGAAGCATTTTGTATTTTGTATTTTACCTGAAATTTTAGGTTCCGGACGTAAATCACTCTATTATTTACGTAAACGACAGAGATATTGAATCGGTGGTGCTGAGCAGATTACCACCATTTCCTCCCCTAAACATATTATAATACTATCACTTGATTTATTTAAGAATTTGTTTGCATACCCATAACAAATGACCAAAGTTACCCGCAGGAGAAAATTTTGCCTATTTTTAGCTCGTTGGGGATGATCCTTAGAGGGGTATCCAAATCTTTTTGCCTCTAATTTCATTATTTCGTTAGATATGGGCCTACTATTATGTGCATATTATTATTTTGTTCGGCAGGTCTTGCTTTGTTTCCGAGTATTTGTATAAATGTTGGGGATTGTATACCTTATGACAATTTACCTTTGTTACGAGGTTTGCTACTAGCTATTAGATGTCAAATTAAGTGATTTGGAGACGTCATAAAAGTTCGATAAATCTTTATTTTCAACTTTGAGTCTAATCAACCATACGTACACAACTACCCAATTTGAAATCTAACAAACAAGAGTTATCTCCTTGTATCGAAAATAAATACTTTTTTTGTACAACTTTTTTAAATATTTTCAACTTTAAAAGCAGTCTCAAAAATAAATTTTTGACCTTAAATTTCACATGCCAACAATATCGGTTACCATGACCATGAATGTGAAAAATATACAATTAAAATATTAAAAATAGTCATCTTAAGCATTGTTATTGGCATGTACATCACTATTTAATTTAATTATTCGTAGATCAATTTATTTTAATTATTTGCAAATTATCATATCTAACTATTTTTTAGTTATTGTAATTAATGATGTGCTTGAGATCTTAAATTCTTTTCTAATATGGATCATTTGAAGGAACTAACCGCATTTGAATGGGACAGGATTTAAATTTCTTGACTGTTGTGTTATGTTAGATGGGTGGTCCTTATTGGTACGTATATTTGGGAAGGAGAGATGGGAAAGTTGGGAGTGAAAGTGCAGCAAACAGTGAAATACCAGGGCCTTCGGAATCCCTAGATAAAATTACTGACAAATTTGTGGCCAAAGGTCTCAATCTCAAAGATGTTGTTGTACTCTCAGGTTTGTCACGTGATGTATTTTTTCTTTGTTATATGAGTAATTTTAGTACGGACACAAGAAAAAAGAGTGATTTACATATGGAGTTTCAAATTTTAGGTAAAATAAAATTATAAAGAAGGTTGGTTAACATTTCTTCTTCTTTTTTTCATTTTTTTCAAAATTACTTGTCGGTCGACTCGAATTTTGATTATTTTTTTGTGTTTGTTTTTTAGTTTTTTCAATAGTAGAGCAATGCCTTAAAGTTTGGGGATATGCCCTACTAACGAATAAAATTTGAATAACAAAAAATAAAAAAATAAAATTCAAGTTAACCGAAGGGTAAAATTGAAAAAAAAAAAAAAAAAAAGACCGGTTGACCGATCTTCTTTGTAATTTTCACCTATAAACGGAAAATTTTGTATTTTACCTAAAATTTTAGTATCCATACATAAATCACTCAAAAACAAAAGAAATGAAAATATGAAATGGCCAATTTTTTATAAAAATTACAAAGAAGGTAAGTGGAACCATGTCTTTTTCTTTTTTCAAAATTGCCCTCCAGTCTGAAGATGCTATCATTAAATCGCTTTTCAATTTTTTTTTATTTCAGTTTTCATTAGCAAGGCTCAATTCTAGAGCGGTCGGAGGATGGGGACCTTGGACCGACTTTGATTCTTCCAACTTTCTCTCGTTAGCCCAAATGAATGACGATCTTTTTCCCCTTCCTCAGGTGGACACACCTTCGGGTTTGCCAAATGCTCCACCTTCAGCTCAAGGCTCTTCAACCACAGTGGCACAGGGAGCCCAGACCCAACCCTTGATTCCACTCTTTTAGAGGACTTACAAAGTCAATGCCCCAACAATGCCTCAGATACATCAACCAATTTGGCTCCCTTAGATCGAGTCACCACTAACTATTTCGACAATGTTTATTACAAGAATTTGATCAACAATTTGGGCCTTCTCAAATCGGATCAAGCACTGTTAACCAATAACCAGACAGCTTCTATGGTGGCTAACTACAGTTACAATCAATATCTCTTCTTCAAGGACTTTATGGTCTCTATGGTGAAGATGGCCAACATAAGTGTCCTCACTGGACAAGATGGAGATATCAGGAAGAATTGCAGGTTTGTCAATGATGCATGAGCTTGAGTTCTAGTGAGAGAGAGTGAGTTTAGATGTAGAGAAAGAAAGAGAGAGTGGGATGGATTGTTAGAAAAGAGCCAATGGTTTAGTGCAAGGTTTCTCACATGTCAAGATGGAAAGTTTAGGGAGAAGTGTATGCTTGTCAATTATGTATTAATGGGCTAATGGTAAGTGTTGCGAAAGAAAAGTATATATTGCATATCCGGCTAATATAGAATGTATGTCATATATTTTATGGCAACTCTGAATATAGTTAAGATGTCTATGATTTAGTTTTTATTAGTGTTATTTGTAATTTATCTATAAAAGACAAGTATGTACATTCATACAATTAATGGATACAAAGAGTATTTTTAGATAACCTTGAGACTCTTCACATGGTATTAGAGCCAAATTCTTCTTAGTTGTGTCCATTCCACATCCCCGAAGCATTGTCTTTGATTTTCAAGACGAGTATGTTGATCACCAGTTAGTGCAACTTCTGTCGAGTCATGATTTGACTATCTGATCTGTCCTCTCTATCGATTCGTATTTCGACTCTCTGATATGTCCCTACCTAGTCGTATTTCGACTCTCTGATATGTCTATCTATCGAGTCGTGTTTCGACTCTTTGATATGTCTCTATGCCGAGTCATGTTTCGACTCTTTGATATGTCTCTATGCCCGAGTCGTGTTTTGACTCGCTGTCGAATCATGTTTCGACTCCTGGATCTGTCTCTCTGTCGAGTCATTTTCAACTATCTGATCTATTTTTCTCTTTGGGATTGTCTACAATTTTTGTTCCTGAGGCTTGTTGATCCACCGCTGCTTTCTATGCTTGTTGATCATGTGTGCATGACAACCACTGTATCTACTGGTCATGCTATACACCTGAAGATCCAACTGCTCGTTTCTACAATTAGCGTTCAAACTCCAACTACTCTCTCTCATAACATCTTGAGTTTGAGGGGAAGTGTGAAATGAAAATATATATTGCATATCTGGTTGATATAGAAGATATATATTGTAATCAGTAAATAACGAGATGATATTGTGTCCTGTATTTTATGGTAAGTCTAAGTATAGTTTAGGTATCTATGATTCAATTTCTATTAGTGTCATCTGTAATTTATCTATAAAAGATAAGTCTATATATTTATATCAATTAATGGACATTGAATCTCTTCAAAGAAACCTGAGACTCTGCACAAGTGCTGTTGATAAGAGAGGGAGAGTGTGTGGAATTGATAGAGAAACAAATAATAGGTTCTAAGACATGCATGTGCCTTTGCTTAGTTTTAAAAGGGCTCTCACAATTCATGTTGGATGGTCAAGAATAATTTGCGCTGATGCAAAAATGAATCAAAGATGAGAGTTGAATCAAAGATGAGAGTGGAAGAAAATTATTGAGATTAAGAGATGATCAAACATGTCATTTTATTTAGAGACTGGCATTTCTTCCTACCACTTTTTCAATAAAGTCTAATAATTAAGATCAGTGTTCGACAAATCAGCCGGTCAAACTTGGATCCAGCTGAGTAAGTCGGAACCAGTCATTGGCCAAGCCAGTTTTAGCAGGTTTAGGTGGTTCGATCGGTTATTTTAAAAAATTCATAAAATATTATATAAAACTCCAAAACATACAAGATTTGTTTGTAATATGTTTTTTAATATTTTTTATCATTTTGAAAAACAAATGTAATGCATTTTGGCCATAATACTTATTTTTATATATATATATATTTTTTTGGATTATTTCTAAAATACCTATAGGTACAAATTGAGTTTTTTTTAAAAAAAAATTACTACTTTTCAATTTAATTTGGATTTGTTTTGTTTAATTATAATTTAATATAAATTTCATATTTTTTAAGATTTTTATAAAACTTTTATTTTTTTAAACACGTTTTGGCCTACGCAGGACCTAATTCCCGTCCGCAGTTCTATTTGTTGAACACTGATTGAGAGAAGTTATTTGCATATATATTAATGACAATGTAATTTTGTGGCTTGTTTCTCACTTGGTTAGATGCATTCCATGGCAGGTGTCAAAGGCCACAGTATGTTTCCCTACTGTAGGGGTGGCGACAGGTTATACCTGGCCCGGGCCAGCCCATGTTTGGAATGGGCGGGCTCTGATTAGAAAAATTTAAAAAAAAATTAAAAAAATTACAAAAAAAAATTTTAAAAAAATTAAAAAACCGGCTATGGACTGAGACTCGATGGAACCCCGCTCTGGTGTTTTAACCCTGAGCTACCCTATTTTTTAGGACTGGGCCAACAGAGCGGTGCGGGACACATGGCCTCGACAAGCAACATGCATTTGTCCGGCCGCATGTAACTTTGCTGGGTGTATACCCTTTGCATTGCACATGCAACTTCCTTGCCTTCAAAGACAAAACTCACAAATTCTTTATTGGGCAGTGTTCGCAATGATACCTCGGCTGCACCTTGCCCTTTCGGGTGGATTGAGGATAAAAAACCATTGGAAAATTATAAATCCCTTCAATTTCACGTTTCCACATATCTTACTTCATATTATTTTTTTGTATTATACTCTAAACTCTATCGCTATTTTTTTTGGTATATACTTCACAGTCAAATAATCAAATCATTTTGTGACCAAAATACCTTTTCTCTTTTCTCTTCATTTTTTTTTAAGTCATTTGTAATATTCTCCCTCTGACTAAACTCTCTCTCTCTTCGCTATTTTCAACTTATCAAAAAAACAAGCTTTATCTCTTTCATCCATATTTTCTCTCTCCACCAAATCAAACTAAACTTTCTCTCTCATCTGTGGTCTCTCTCTCCTTTCTCCAATAGTTTGCGCTCCTTCCATTATTTTAGTCTACCTGCCCTCTCTCTACTTTTTCCCCAAACTCTCTCTCCCATTCTCTCTCTTTTTCCCTCTACCCATTCTGTCTTATTCTCTCTATGTTTCTCCCTCTCTCTCCTATTCTATCTCCTCTCGCTCTTTCTCTCTCTCTGCCTTTCTCTCTCTCTGACACGCCATCTACCATCTCTCTCATTCTATCTCTATCGGCACACATCGTGATGAATAAACGTGAAAATGCGGGTAGGCTCAGAGAAAGGGAGAGAGGGAATGAGAAAGAAGTTTGAAAAAAAAAAAATAGAGAGAAAGTGGGTAGACAAAGAATGGGATAGAGGCAATGGATTAGAGAGAGGGAATGGAGGAGAGAATATTGGGGAGAAGTAGAAAGAGGGTGGGCAGACAGCGATAATGGGAAAGAGGGCACAGGTAGAGAGAAGTTTTGGAGAAAGGAGAGAGAGAGTTTAGTTTGATTTGGTTGACAGAGATAATACGGATGAGAGAGAAAAAGCTATTTTTTTTGTTTGGGTAAGTTGAAAATACAGAAGGGAGAGGGAAGAGTTTAGTTAAAGAGAGAATATAAAAAATAAATTGAAAAACGAAGTGAGAGATAAAATGGCATTTTGATTATAACATGGTTTAATTATTTGACTAAGGGAGTATATACAAACAAAAAAAAAGATAGCGTTGGATTTTAAGGTATAATGCAAAAGGTAATAGGGGTAAGAAACGTGGAAAGTTGAAATTGGGGGTATCTATCATTTTTTTAAAAATTATTTCAAATCCCCCGGTATTTGAATGTTTATACAAGGTGTTAAACTTATATATACAAGTGCGGTGCATCGCACAAATCTATTAGAACAGGTTATGTCGATATTACACGCTTCTCCAATTGATTATCATATAAAAAAAAGTTCCGAACCTCAATGCATCTGATAAAATATTATGCACAATATCCACTTTGAAAATTTTCATATTTTTATAGATATACAAGATTTGTGAAGGGTTGAAGTAGATTTTCAGATGGTGATTTTGACACAAATATGTAGGGTGGACGATCCATCCTCGATCTAAGCTTTGAGACAATAGTTATCAACAAAGTTTTTAAATCTCTGTCTCCTTAAGTTGGTGTTTTAGAAAAATATTAAAAAATTAAATAATAAAAATTAAAATAAAGATTAATGAGGTGGGGATCTAATAGGTCACCTAAATAAATTTTAAAAGAGAGACAAAAAGGAGAGGTTATAAGGGGGATCAGTCCGATACTAATATCTGTCTAGAACCAGTTCGGTACGGTTATTCCCTATGCGAATTGGCTATTCTCGATCAAAAACAAGAGGTTGCAAAACACTATTAGCAACTGTCTAATCTGCACTACAATTATATTTGAGAAGACCATGCCTTTGCACAAGTAATTTACATTTGCTCCCACGCAGAAGGTTCCTACAATAATTTTAAGATTTTAAATTTTAGAGACAATAATTTTAAGATTTTAAATTTTAGAGATGTAACCTACATAGGGAAGCAACTAATCCGAATCGGAGTTTACATACACACTTTACAAGTGCATGAACAATAAATCGTACCCTAGAATTTAACATAGACCAAATAAATTTTACGCGGTGAAATCCTATCAACACAAAATCTTTCTTCTTCTGTTTCTAATATTGAAAGTGCTTATTGCTTGGGCCATTTTTGTACAGGGAAAGGTTTATCTCAACCGTACAGAAGATATATACTTTCCCTCCTCTAGTTGTTCGATTAAGATCAAATGGATCATTAATAGTTTGATCTAAATTCGACGTCTTAGAGTATTTTATTTTTAATTTTTTTTTACGAAACATTTTAATCCCAAATTTTGAGCATCCACTCCTCTCTTAAACTTGCACCGGTAAAAAATATAAAAATTAGATTTTCAATAACTAAAATATCCAAAATACTCCTTAAATTATCTAGGGTATTTTGATCATTGTATTTATCGAAAATATTTTTTAACCAAAATACCTTTGAAATTATCATAAATATATTTGTCATTGTATTTTATCAAAAATAATTTTTAATATTATTTTAAAGTACGTCCCAATGAGATGATGACACATACCATATTTTATATTCACATAATTTATAAAAAAAATTAAAAATAAAACAATATAAAAATATGATATTGCGATTAAAGTCATCTCAACCGTCTGTTAAAAATGGACAATTGGATACGAGAAATTATATAATTTTTATACAGCGGTCAAAGTATAGAAAGCTTGACCTTTGTACTACTTTAAACACTAATAAGTGTCTCTTAAACGCATGTGCCATAGAATTTATTTTAGGGGTTTAAACCTAAGCCTATCAAGACAAAATCTTCCATTTTTGTACTACTTTA